GCTGGCGGGCGAGCTCGGTGCGCTCCCGGCCCACGACGTACTGGCAGCGCTGGAACTCCATCTCCAGGCGGTAGAGCTGCTCGGCCGTGAAGGAGGTGCGGGTCCGCTTGGGACGGTCCAGATCAAGGCCCTTAGGCAGAATAATCTCTCTGATTGAACCTTTGGCATCTGGCAAAGAGAGGCGCAGTCAGCTTTACACCAGGCAACCCTCCTATCTTTTTTTTTTCCTTTTATTTTTATTTATTTTATTTTTATTTTTCCGAGGGAAAGAACCGCCGCAAGCGCCTTCAAGACCGAGACCCAAGTTAGGATGGAGGGGGCTCCCTGAGACTGCGGTGCCGCACCTGGCTGCTCCTCCCAAGGAAGGGGAAAAAAAACCACCAAAACCAAACCAGCAGAGAATGATGGAGGGGGCGGTGGGGGCCCAGGGCTCTGGAAATAATCCCCTCAGCCCATTTAAAAATCGGCCTGAATATGTTGTGCTGACAGTACGCCACTGCGGCATCACCCACGGCCCCTCTGGGAGGCTGGGGAGAGATCCTCCAGGCCGGGCTTTGTGCCTGGAGTGCAGGGCTACTCTTTGTTCCCCCTGGGCTCGGGATTAGGGCTTGCTGGAAGCCTCCACGCACACCCAGCCACCCCCCCAGAATAGAAAACCTCCTCATTTTTTATTATTTTTTTTTTTTTAGAATAAGTTTCCCATGTGGGGGAAAAAAAAAAAAAAAGCAGGCAGGAGCGTTCAGGGCGCAGGCAGCGCTGCCCCCGAGCTGGCTGACTGCCCACCGCGAGCCTGGGGACACCTCCGGCCCACCCAGCATCCCGGGGAAAGCCTCGCCGCTGCTTGGGGGTTTTGGCAAACGGAAGAAGAAGGAGGGGAGGGGGGGGAAAAAAACCAAAACAAACACAAACGACCAAACCAAAACCAAAACAAGGCACCAAACAGCCCGCAGAAACCTCACTTTTTTGGTAGTCCCGACCGAAAGCAAGCGGGACAAATCTTATTAACGCGACTGTCAAGCTAGGGCCAGACTCATGTTCCATTAAAGCCTTCCCAACTTTGCTTTCCGTAATTTTACCTCTTCCGTACGCTTTAAACCCGAGACGACCACATCATTTTAATCTGCCCCCTCTCTGGGTCAATCGGTCGCGCAAGGATTAATTACTGTTTCCAAGGCCTGCTTCGTACTAATTTTGTTCCGATTCTGTTCTCTCTCTCCTCCCCCAAAACGCACCTTGATAAAGCTGAAATTTCTTCAGGTAAATTTTTTTTTTTTTGGAGGGGATAGGAATAGAAGGATTTAATTAGTTTAGCCCGGGAGGGAGACGAGGGCTGAGGAAAATACAACGTAGAACTATTAAAAAAAAAATATTTTACAGCCCGCCGCCGTTCCGCCGCTGGTTTTGAGCTGATGGTTATGTGCCAGCAGCCGCTTCTGCCGGGGT